TCTCTCCTCCCCCCCCTTCCTCTCTCTCTATCTCTCTCTCTCGCTCTCACTCTCTCTCTCTCTCTCACTCTCTCTCTCTCTCTGTCTCTCTCTCTCAAATAGTTAACACACACTCACATTTTCTCGCTCAAACACTCTGAGGACGCGAGCTATCAGCTTTTACGTATTTATAAATGTTGCTAACATGTTTCCCAAGCAACTTTTTTTCCATCCTTGAACTTAATCTCACTTGCTTTGAGACGAAATCTCCCTGACAGTTAATCAAGATAATGTCATATCACATCGGGGCTAACAACTGGATATTCATAATAATTTTTTGAAACTTTTGAGAAGCAGATAAAGAGTTGGTGAGATTACTGCGCAAGACGCTGACAGGGGCATCGTGGTCTTTTGATAAGCAGTTATGCAAACATTTCTAAATTCTTTAAATCTTCTAAAATCTACAACAAATTCAACTTCAAAGACGACTCGGGGATGGACGTTTTATTTTTAATTAACCTTTTGATTATTGCCACCAATAATAATAGGAAGTGGATATTTATAGGGCAGGCCGTCGAAAAATCGGAAGTGATAATTCCACGGCACATAAATTCAGCCAATCAGAACATCCGGACTATTTGTAATTAAGCCTATAATCTCTTTTCCATAAGTAACGCATTATTATAGAGATACAATTTAAGATACCTGTATGTTTAGTTAACAATGTTTATCCTTTGCTATCATTTTGTGCATTATGGACAATGATGAAATGTTTTGTGTGATTGTAACGAGAGTGAGAGATGCACAATTTAATCTGTGAAAGCAAAATGGAGAGAAGACTTGTTGTTTTTCCAACAGTAGGGTGCCCATTTACGGATGGGATCGGGTCGGGTCGGGTAGGTATGATCACCCGACTCGTCGCCTGGAAAACAAACACAATTCTTGCATTGATACACTTCAAACAGAGCCTATATGCCGTCGAAATATCAATTCCGATCTTTAGACTCAAGACGACATACCGTATTATATAGGTATCACTTTCGATGTTCAGACAGCATGCCGTGGAAATATCAACTACGATTTTCAGACGGCATGCCGTCGAAATATCGCTACCCATAATAATATGGCTGGGCCGCTCTCTCCGAATCTGACACACGCGTACACAAACACACGCACATATACACGCACATAAACACACATATACATGCACGCGTACACACACACAGACGCACACACACACA